CTGCTGTACCATGTGGGTCACCTTTGGGGCGGGATCAAACTCAGGCTGAAGTTGCCTTAGCTTCTTAGTGCTGTGCTTTAACCCGCTGCATCCAAACGGTGGGGCCCTGGTCTTGATTGTTGATGGGTTTGTATGAAAGAGAATGTAGGTGGATAGATGAGGCGAACTTTGCAATGAATTTATTAAGTTAGATTGAATCTTAAAGGCCACTGACTAGAATGTAGTTTACTAAATGTTTTCTGAAATTAGCTCTGAAAAGTTCAGATGTTTTATTTACAAACACAATTTCTTATTCAGATTTCTCAGCTTTTGAACAGAGTGGACCTGTCAATATCAGAGCAAAGCACCAAACTGAAGATGTCCCACAGAGACAGTAACCACCAGCTTCAGCTTTTGGATACAAAGTAAGTAATCAGCTCACAGACATTTTGTTGTTAAAATTCTTTGTAAGTTTATTCAATACCACAGTTGTGTTTTTTTTTTTTTTTAAACCTTCTGGTTTTTATTCATTGCACAGAGTGAAACAATGGAAGGTATAAAGAAAAGTTTTCTTGTGGTATGTTGCCTCCTTTACCATCCTAATTATTTTGAGTGATTGAATGATAAGCCATCTATTCATTTAGTAAATATATATTGAACACCGACCCAGGTGCTGAGGCTCCAGTAATGAAGAAAAACAGGCTCTCTTCATATCTGTGTGGAGTTTAGATAAATAAACTGACTAAATAAGGATATGCAGAGCTATTACTATTACTGATGGTTATAAGTGTTTTAAAGGAAAGGTTTGTGGTCACAATAGACTGATAGTAGCCCCCCACCCCCCAAATATGATCATGTCCTAATCCCTCTGAATGTTACCTTTTTAAAAAAAAAAAAAAAAAAAAGACTTCCTTGATTAAGTTAAGGATTTTTAAAGTTAAGGATCTTAAATTTAAGTATTGGAAAATGTGTAGATTATTCCGGGGGTATTCTATTGTAACCCCTACCGTCCCTATATGAGGGAGATAGGAATGTCAGAGTTGAGAGAGGAGGCTCTGTGACTGTGGAAGTGATGATTCAGTATGACCTTTAAGATGGAGGATGGACCATCCCATGGAAGAAGACAATGCTAGAGACAGAGAAAAGCCAAGAAAATGATTCTCCCCTCACACCCTCTAGAAGGAACCTCCTTTCTTACAACTCCACTTTAGTCCAATGAAACTGATTTTAGCGCTCGGACCTGCAGCACTGTCAGCACGAGTGTGCTGTTTTAGGCCACTATGTTTGTGATCACTTGTCACAGCAGCCAACTGAAAAACAAATACAGTGGTGCTGTGAGAGTGAACAGCAGGCACCCAGTTGTGGGGCCTTCCTGAGATGGTGATGTTTGCAGTAAGAGCTGAAGAATGAGTGTAATCCCTGAAAAGTGAGGTAAGGATACATGAGATAACAGCCTGCTGTGGAAGGAATGTGACATGCAGGAAACTGAAAGATAGCAGAGCTGTTTGGAGCAAGGAGGACTGGATAGCAAGAGCTAGAACAATTAAGGATGAGAAATGAGGCTGGGTGGTCCAGCTTGCAGGGCCATGTAGATCACATTCAGGATTTTCTGTCTCTATCTTTAGGTGCTATTGAGGGGATTTTAAACAAATAGACTGATAAAATAAGGTTGGTATATTGTTTTTTACATGGCCTGATTACACTTGGGAATTGGATCGTAAGGGTGGAAGCAGAGATGGGGACATCAGTTAGGGGACAGTTGTTGTCGCCAGGTAAGAGAGGTTTGCCTGAGGGTGACTTTGAAATACTGTAGGGTGTACTATATATAATTTGTTGGCTATAGCAATGTTGTTTACACCATACGTACTCACAGCAAAACTCTTCTGATGTCCTTCTGCTCAATCACAAAACCATAATATATTTTTCCTATCATGAATCTTCACAAACTTGGCATTTTCCTGCCAAAGCAGGGCCAGTAGTGACTTTATACATATGTGTGTACACATCTGTGTATATACACACCCCCAACATGTATATTTTACTTAATACATCTTTTTAGATGACTTCAGTGCAGAACTTTGTGAGAGGCTGTGGAAAACTTCTTAAACTTCTCATTGACTCATGCTTAATGCCATTTCCAGGCTTCCATTAATTTAATAGGAATTCTCTTATGAAACCATGTCTCCTTTGCTCTGTTTTATGTGATTATTTAGTTATGTCACCATTTCTCATAGATTCAACAAACTTACCAAGTACAGAAAGATCTTTCCAGTTCTTTGTTTTTGATCACACAAGAAGCAAATAAACATGTTAGTATTTTTTCTTTTGTCATTTAATTATGGGCAACATTACTAGTTAGCAGATCTGAGCCTCTTGATTTTTCTTCCTACAATTTAAAGTCTAGACACAAAGGCTGCCTCCAGAGGGATGCAGACAAAGCTTAGAGCCTCTGTGAGGTACAGTGTTATATTAGAAACCCAAAAGGTGAAACCCTTGCTGGCTGAACTAGGAAAAATCTCTATGCCAAAAAAGATCTCAGGAAACTTACCTATCTAAGTGTTGGCTCTGGGTATGGAGGTAATTTATTGAAAATGTAGGACTATAAGACAGTCTTTGTGTGAATACAGAAGAATGTGTGAATTCACATTACCCAAGTGACTTGAAGAAAACCAGAGGGAAGCCTCCCTGGTAGTGCAAGGGGTTAAGTCTCAGGATTATCAAGCTATCAGTGACCCCTGCAACATGAGTTTTTGATCCCTAGACACAGAGCTGACCCATGTGGAACAGCAGACTCCTCTTGTCTCACCCTCAGCTCTCCTCAGCAGTGTATTTCAGTAGATTCGCCTGTGCTGCTTCCCACTGTGTCTCTGCTGAACCCCCATACCTCTGGCATGTACCCCAGTTCTTGTACATATAAACAAATAAATCTTTTTAAAAATTGTAAAATAAGACTAGGGAAAGGCCATATAAGTTACAAAGTGAGAAGAAGCATTGAAAGTAGAATCAGACCTCTAAGTACAACATACAAATAGATTATCAGATAAACAAGTGTTCTGGGCATGTGTACATATGCATATGTGTGTGCATACGCATGTATGCACGTGTGACTTTGCTCACTTTTACTTCTGAAACATGACTAAGGAACGGTTGTCAAAAATGACTAGACCAGAAAAAGCAACTCGGCGTTGTTGATAAACAACCAAGCTGAATTTCTAGGCTATCACAATCAAACCTAAAAGCTATACCTCGACTCTGCCTACCAGGAAGCCCAGGACGCGTGCATGCCCATAGGGCTGATCAGCTGCAGGTTCCAGCCACAGCCACATCTGGCCATGGAGCGGGTCTTTGGTCTTGCTCAATTATTGAGCACAATTCTGGCTGTGCCCAAAACCCTGCCCCAAAACAGAACATAGCTTGTAGCCCTAGCTGACCAGAGACCTAGATCGTGACTCTATGTGACCACTCAGTGCAGCCCCTGGTCCACCCAGCCGTGAGGCACATTGGCAGCCTTACCTGAACAGAAAGCTTGCCAGTGACCTCACTCAGCAGTGGCACATAGCCAGCAGCCTGCGGGATGGTGGAACAAATCCTGGGTCTCTGTCCATGAAACCTGGCTTGCAGTGCCATCTGAACTTGGGGTGCAGCGAGGGGCGACGGCGTACTGACCAGGTACCATGAGGAGTCTCTCCTGTATTCCAGTCCAGTTTTGGAGTATATTGTCTTGCCAGGTAATAGGACTTGTGGCCCTGCCTGGCCAGATATAATTGTGATAACTGTGAAGCCCAACCCAGCCTACCTGACCAGGTTGCCCAGCCCATGGCACCCACCAACCTCAGAGCACAGGCAGAGGCCCCACCCAGTAAGAGACCTAGCAGACATATACAGAATATTCCATTCAACAGCAACAAAATAGATGCTCTTCTGAAACACACACAGAACATTCCTAAGGGTAAACCAGGTGAGGTGACAAAATAAAGAGGATTGAAATAATTCAAGTATTTGTGACCACATGGTACGAAAGGGATCCCAGACAGTGCCCACATGTGTCCTTGTATCCCGCCTGCAGTGCTGCTCAGCCACAGAGCCTGGTCGATAGCCCCATCTGTAGCAGACAAATTGACAAAGCAAAATGCTTATCAAAATGGAAAAAGTAAGAGCCTAGGAAAATAGGGAAATCTAGAAGGAGAATGTGGAAACTGTTCTTTGAATTCGGGGTACTGAGGACCCGCTGAATGACAGAGATTAGTGTGTGGCCTGGCTCTGTGTGTCACTCAGTGCCTACACTGTGGACTCTTCCCAGGTAAGAAGTATCATCAGAGCTTCTCTGTGTATCCATCTCTCCCTCACTCTTTCCCGACTTAGTGCTAAAAGAGGAGATGAGGGTAATGCTTATATACATATGGAAAAGTTCATAGTGGGAGACTAACTAAGGTGGTTTGCTGTCATTTTAAAATTGTCTTACCTCTAACTTGCTAACTTTCTTATTTTAGATTTAAAGGTACAATTGAGGAACTCAGTAACCAGATTTTATCTGCGCGGAGTTGGTTGCAACAGGAACAAGAACGGATAGAGAAAGATCTTTTACAGAAAATTGACCAGCTTTCCTTGGTTGTTAAAGAAAACAGTGTAGGTATTGATGTTTAGCAATACTAAAGCTATTTGGTGGGAGCTTCGATGTTTGAGTAATACCTAATTAGTTACTGAGTTAATATTACATTGAGCTGTTCAGTTGTTCTTTGCTTTAGAATTCATTTCCATGGTTCAAACAGTTTATAAAGAGATGTAACACTCTGACTTGTTTTGATTAAATAAGGCTAAGTAGAAAATTTCAATGCTTTCAGCTAAGATGAACTTAAGTCAAGACCTTAATGAGTCAAATGCAATTCTTATCATGGAACCCAGGGAGCTAGTGAAAGGGACATGGAGAAGAAGCTCAGCCAGATGTCTGCCAGACTTGACAAAATAGAAGAGAGTCAGAAGAAGAATATGGAAGTGCAGAGAACCAAACAAGAAGAGGAGAAGATGCATGGGCGAATCAGCAAGTTGGAGTTACAGATGAATGAAGACATGAAGGAAATGAAAGCAGAAGTTGATGCTGGTAGGTAAAAAAGAAAGTTATTCTCATAGTTTATTTTCTATTTGGTGAAAAAACAAGTGATTAGTATCCCCCTATGTCCTGTGGTCCTGGCTCATGGTCATAAGTGACACATTCTGATTCTCAGGGTTGTGTCCAAGTAGCTATGCTATGTTGACTTAAAATATTGTTTCAATTCTAAGCACCTGAAGAATCCGCATGAGGGGCAGGAAAACAAAATAAAGCCAGGAAGAAAAAGAAAAACACCAAATGGTTTCACTCAGCAGGAGCGTAAGAGATCAGGGGAAAAGAAAAAAAAAAAACAAAAGAAAACATATTTCTTAATGGTGAACCAAAGCACAAGTTATGTTTTAAAATACTCATATCTTCTCTTACCTAAAGGTCACTTTTATGAATTTTTGTATACATGTAGAATATATATGAATATATATGTGCTTTTTCCATTGAAAGCTCACGTTCACCAGCTACTTGCTGATTTATGATCTACTTTTTAAATTAGTAATGTGTTATCTTTACATTCAATAAAAGCATTAATGAGTAATTTTATATCTTTTTTCTTGAGCTGTCACATAAAAAAGATTTTTTGAGAAAATTCTATATTTACTAAAGCAAATAAGGTATTTTAAACATTTATTTAAAAAAAACAGTAGGAAATCAAAATATTATGAAGTAGTTTTTGATGGAGAATTTCTTTTAACTTTCATTTTGAAATAACTTCAAATTTAGAAAACATCTATCTGTCTATCTATAGCTTTCACCCAAATTCACCATTTGTCAACATTTTGGAAATTTGCTTCATCTGTGTGCATGTTTATTAATGTAATTTTTTTCTTAAGTTGCAGAAGTAATGTTTGTTCCTTTATCATTTCAATGTATATACCTTAACAACAATATTCTCTTAAGTAACACAAGTACAAAGTCATGTAAATGAAATATTATTTGATATTCAGTTTTTAGCACTGATCATTGTTTTCTTTATAGCAAACCTTCCCTGATCTAGGTTCTGATCCAGAATCACACATTGTGTGGCACTATCATCTTTCCTTAGTCTCTGTCTCTCTCTCTTTTTCAAAGATTTATTTATTTATACATACAAGAGCAGGGATGTAGGCCAGAGGTACGAAGTGAGGGGCTGCTGAGAAGATTCACCAGAGACAGAGTGGGGAGCAGAACAGGCAGATTGACAAAGTATACTGCTGAGGGGAGCAACAGGTGAGACTGAAGAGGTCTGCTGTGTCATGTGGGTCACCTCCCTGGCTGGGGATTGAACTCATGCTGCAATAGCTGTAGATAGCTTTATAGTGCTGAGATTTAACCCCTTGTGCCACCAGGAAGCCCCTCCCCCACCAATCTCTTTTAATCTAGGTCAGTTCCTTTACTGTCGACATCATTAAAGAATATAGGCCAGTGGGCTTCCCTGGTGGTACAGGGTTCTATCAAGCTGTCAGAAGCCACTGCAACATGAGTTCCATCCCCAGCCAGGGAAGTGACCCACATGACATGGCAGACCTTCCCACCCACTGCTCCCCTCAGCAGTGTATTTCAGTCGGTCTTTCTGTTCTGCTCTCCACTCTGTCTCTGGTGAATCCTCTCACCCTATCTTTTCCCCCTGCCCACCCTACACTTTTGGCCTACATCCCAGTTCTTGTATGCTTAAAAATAAATATTAAGAAAAAGAACATAGGCCAATATTTTGTAGATTCTCCCACAATTTACCTTTTTTTAAAAAACAATGTTCATTTTTGTATAATGTATGCTTTTTCATCTCATTTGCAACTACCATGGACTTCCCATCACCAATTCACCCATGTGACATTGCCATAGTCCTGTGTGCTCTTCCCAATCCTGTTTTGATCCTACTCTCCTCTACCCCCAGAGAAGGTCTCTAGTTTATAGTTGTTTATTTTCCCACAGTTTACTTTTTTTTTAAGGTCATTGAATATGTCATATATTATAATGTATATTGATGCATCTTTTTTTGTTTTATTTTACAA